GCGACGGGATGCTGGGAAGTTGGGAGGTTCTTTACTTTTTGCCTGGATTTCCGTGTTCTGAGTTTGATTAGGCATAGTAAAGGCGTTAGTATACTAGGTTTCTAGCTGCAGAGATTTTCGGAACTCTGACCTGGAATATTTGAAAGCTTCGTTAGTGCGGAGTCAGGCCTTGGATAGGCAACTGGCATTTTCCTTGAAGTCTGGGTTCTCTGTGGGAGGCCGCCTCCTCTGGAGCCCTGGGTGACGGTTTTTCCATCTGGTCAAGGGGTAAGGCACAGAGAAAGAGCTCGGGGGAGGCGGGAGCGCGTGGGAGAGAGCCTGGTGCTTGGAACTCAGGAGAGGAGGAGGAGCCAGACAGCTGGGTACAGGCGTCTGAAAAACCTTGTAGGCGATCCAAGACACGACCGCTCCGGTCTGGCCGGTTAGCTCAGTTGGTTAGAGCGTGGTGCTAATAACGCCAAGGTCGCGGGTTCGATCCCCGTACGGGCCAGTGGTTTTATACTTTTACAAGAAAATGGATCCGAAAGTTGTCTGCATCCTCTTCCTAGGCAACCGTAACCCGACTGTGCATCGCAGAAGTTCCTGCTGCTCCTTATCCCCCGCCGCAGAAGTCACTTGCAATCTCTTTAGGACGTTATCGGTTAAGCGTTCAAAATTTTGCAGTTTTAAGCCCGGCTCCGGCTCCTCTGGCGATGCTGTTCAGTGAAGACCGGTGGCCTCGGGTGGACCTCAGTATTCATGGAGTTCTTCATGCTGATAATGCAGGTCAAGACAACGCGTTTCGCAGGTGTTCCCCGCAAGCCGACTGCACGCGCTGGACGGTCCCCGCAGGGCCAGCCGAGGAACGCTGCGGGGTTTTCAGAAACCTTCGCTTGTCTCTGTCTCCCTCCTGTCAGAGATTTTCGACTCCACACTTCTTCCTCTTGGTTCTGAATTTGGAGGCAGAGGACAGTGAACAAATTTCTCACGGAATGCTCTAGTCTCTGGGTCGGTCAACGATGTTTAGTTTAACAAAAAAGCACCTTTTGGCTCCTTTGTGGGTACAGGGTGGTGGATTTTGTTTTCCGTAGCCCAGGCTCACCTTAAACACAAGATTCTCCTGCCCCCACGGCCTGAGAGCTGAGACTACAGGCAGGGACCGCTCCACCTGGCCGCTCCATCCCTTTCTCAAGGGCTGAACCCCGAATTAGATAAGGGCAGGCCGAGTCCACGGAGATTAAGGTCTCGGTAAGTTCTTCAGATGAGTCAGAGCTGTGGATCCCATACTAGTGGGTGGGACTGTTGCTATTGCAGACAAAATGAAAAGAAATGGACTGCTGGCGCCAGGAATAGGTGCTTGCACACGTCATACAGGATAGAAGTTCCTGGTACTTAGTTAGACTCAGGGACACAGTAGGGAGTGGAGCTGGGCATTGAGACTAGATCTGAAGCTTGCTGTCCTATTTACCTTCATCTGACCACTGCCTTCCACCGTGGTGTGGGGGGGGGGGGGGGGGGGCGGGGGAGGCATGATCCCTCTATTGTGAACTCGGCGGCCTGTCTGCACAGAACCTTGGGTTGGGCCCCTCTAGCGTGTGCGTTGTGGATGTGATACTGCGGGAACTAAGCAGTGACAAGCTCAGCCTTTGGTTTTCAAGTTTAGAGCTAGGAATAAAGCTAGGCCCTGCTAGTGCCCAGTAAACCGTCTTCGAAGCTGTGTCCCAGCACTTTGGACTGGGTTTTCGGCATGACTTTTCTGTAGGGAACATAGAAGTGGACTGGGAGATGGTGAAGGGATTGGTTGTCTTTTTTTTTTTTAAAGATCTATTTATTTTATTTATTATGTATACAGTGTTCTGCCTGCATGTATGCCTGCAGGCCAGAAGAGGGCACCAGAGCTCATATAGGTGGTTATGAACCACCTTGTGGTTGCTGGGAATTGAACACAGAACCTCTGGAAGAGCAGAGCCCTGGGATTGGCTCTTTTGCTAAACGCAGAAAGGAAACAGCTGTTTTGTCATGTCTAGCTTTGACTCTGTTGTGGGTGTGCTGTGTGACATCAGGAGGAACAGGCAGATCTCTGCCTTCCAAACACATTTGAAGGTGTTCAGAATACTCCCCCACAGTGTAAAACTGGGAGTTTGGAGAGGTGGCTAAATTGTTAAGCTGTTTGGTTCCCAGCACCTATGTCAGGACACTTGGCAGCCACTAGTTCCAGGGCATCAGATAGTTTCTTCTGGCCTCCATGGGTACCTGCTCACATGTAGCATTCGCTTACACAGACACATGCACATAAATAAAGTAAACCTTTTTTGTTTTGGTTTGGTTTTTCAAGACGGGGTTTCTCCATACAGTTTTGATGCCTGTCTTGGATCTCACTCTGTAGACCAGGCTGGCCTCAAACTCACAGAGATCCGCTTGGCTCTGCCTCCTGAGAGCTGGGATTAAAGGTGTGCACCACAGCCGACTGGCAAAAGTAAACCTTAAAAAAGAATACTTTAAGTCGGGCTGTAATGGCACACGCCTTTAATCCCAGCACTCAAGAGGCAGAGGTAGGCTGATCCATGTGACTTTGAGGCCAGCCTGGTCTACAGAGTGAGTTTTAGGACAGCCAGGGCTACACAGTGAAACCCTGTCTCAAAAAACCAAAACTGCCCCCCCAAAAAATACTTTAAAACTATTGTGGTTAGTCGTGGTGGTGAACGCCTTTGATTTCAGCAGAGGCAGAAGGATCTCTGTGCTGGGATCAAAGGTGTGTGTCACCAGTTTCTTTATGAACACTAATACTAGTAACTTGCCTTTTGTCAGTTCATTTGACACACACACACACACACACACACACACACACACACATTCAAAAGATAAGTTTTTTCCTCTCCAAATTCAAAAGGATTTTAAAACAGAGGTGATATTCTGGATTAAGGCGGTAATTCTAGGCTTGGGGTTAGAGAGAAGAAAAAGAGAGAAAATATTAAAGAAACAAGTAGACATGGTAACATGTACCTATAACCCCAATGCTCAGGAGGCTGAGGCAACAGGATCATGATTCCAGGCCAGGCTGCTCTATAGAGTGAGTCCCAGGCCACTCTGCTCTATAGAGTGAGTTCCAGGCCAGCCTGGGCTATAGAGTGAGTTCCAGGCCAGCCTGGGCTATATATGTAAAAAGACGCTGTTTTGCTAAGACAGACTGGGAGAAATGCAGTCGCCCCGGCAACACTTAGTGAAGCTGCCAGGGCATTAACTCAGGACACTGCAAGGTTTATGGTGAGTGTAACATGAAGATGGCCTACAAGGATAATAAAGATGATGATCACAGGGCTGGCGAGACGGCTCAGCGGTCCAGAGGTTCCCTCCTCTTTCCAAGACCTGGGTTCGATTCTCAGTACACACATGGAGGCTCACAATCACCTGTAACTCCAGCTCCAGGGGATCTGATGCCTTCCTCTTACCATCTCAGGCTCTTGCTCACATGGGCTGTCCATACACATATTCAGGCACACACCTAGAGAGTTTAAGAATAAAAAGATAATCCTGGGGGCTGGAGAGATAGCCCAGTGGTTAAGAACATGTCTTGTTCTTGCAGAGGACTTGCGTTCGATTCCAGGCACCCACATCAGGCAGCTTACAACTGCTTGTAAGTCAAGCTCTAGGGGATGGCCCTAACCTCAGGTACATATACATATACAGATATATACATATGTACACATAAATAATATAAATAATAAAAATATTTTTTAGAGATAATCCTGTGGTGAAATAAAATGATCAGAACCTGACAGCAGGCTGTCCCCAGCCTCTCTCCTGTGGCTTTCACTTATCTTATCACACTGAGTGGCAATTGCCAGTCTCACTCTTCCTACTTAGACTCCAACTGCCCACGGCAGGGACTCCCATTGGCCCTACAGGGGCTCAGTAAGTATGTAATCAGTGGCTGACTGCCCTACTCAGGAAGAGCCACTGGAGTGAAGAGAAGCTAGGCTAGGATGAGGAAGTAGTGGAGCTGGATGGAAGAGCCTGCAATGTGAGGCAGGTGGATGCATTCAGCCACCCATCTACCCACTCATCCATCTGTCCATTCAGCCATCCACCTCCCCACCCAGCCAGCCAGCCATTAACTATCCATCCATCCATCCATCCATCCATCCTTCTCTTGAGTGTGTGTTCTGGGACAGAGCTTGTGTTGGGCACCTAATGAGCAATATGTCATTCCTGCTCTAAAGATGTGCATAGTCTATGTGGTCTATATATATGAATAATATTTTAAGATGTGTTACATTTGTTTATGCTGTGGAATATTTGTTTAATGATGCAAAGATGTATTGCATTCCTTTGTGTTGCGTTTGTGAAGCTGTGTTGCTTTGTCTGTTTAAAACACCTGATTGGTCTAATAAAGAGCTGAACGGCCAATACCAAGACATAAGAAAGGACAGCCAGGGCTGGCAGAGAGGATAAATAGGAGGAGAAAAAGAGAGAAAAGAGGATCAAGGAACAAGAAAAAAGGAGGAGGACTCCAGGAGCCAGCCACCCAGCTACACAGCCAGCCACGGAGTAAGAAATAATGAAAGGTATACAGAAATAGAGAAAGATAAAAGCCCAGAGGCAAAAGATAGACAGGATAATTTAAGAAAAGCTGGCTGGAAATAAGTCAAGCTAAGGCCGGGCAGTTATAATTAAGAATAAGCCACCGGGCAGTGGTGGTGCACGCCTTTAATCCCAGCACTCGGGAGGCAGAGGCAGGTGGATCTCTGTGAGTTTGAGGCCAGCCTGGTCTACAGAGTGAGTTCCAGGAAAGGTACAAAGCCACACAGAGAAACCCTGTCTCCAAAAACCAAAAACCAAAAAAAAAAAAAAAAAAAAAAAAAAAGAATAAGCCTTTGTGTGTGATTTATTTGGGAGCTAGGTGGCGCCCCCCCCCCCAAAAAAAAAGAGTAAAGCGTAAAATTAAAAACAACCAACATCATTTTATTATTATTATAAATATTATATATTTAGTATATATTAATATTATATAGTAACCCCTTTGTGCAATCCTTCTGACCCATGGTTTTATCTGATCAGTCCCAGCAAAGGCCCCTCTAGAGTCACCCAGAACCACTCTCTAAACTCATTTATTGAGGAGGGGGAAAGGTTTCCTGGAGCAATCCTTTGAATTGTAACTTGAGAGCCACCAAAATTTATGTATGGCTACTGCTCATACATTTAAGGCGACGTTAAGGCTTCTTGAGAGGCCCCCTACACATATTCTTCCTCAGAGCATCCATCTCTCTTTCCCGTGACCGTTTAAATCTATGTTAAACTTTGTTCATAATGAACCCCAGCTGTGCTCCACATTGGTTTGTCCCGAAATTCTTCACTGTACTGAACTATTTTCAGTTGAGTAGAGGTCTCTAAAAACAACTCAGGACTGCACAGCCAAACTAGCCGGCTCCCCAGTGCTACTAACCAGCGAGTGTTCGGAAGGCTGAGACAGAAGGATCGCCACAAGCTCGAGATCAGTCAGGGTTACAGCAGGAGGCTCTGTCTCAAAAAAGAAAAAAAGAAGCCGAATTTAAATTTTAACTTGGTGGAGTGTTTGTCCTAGCATTCAAAAAGCAATGGTTCGAGCTCCCGCGCCGCATAAAACCAGGAGTGGTGGTAGTGCGTGCCTATAACCCCAAATTTATCAAGTGGGGTTAGGAAGACGTTTGAACTTCAGGAGTCGGGGTCTCTGGAACCCGGGATCGGAGACATCATCATGGAGCTGGTGACATCTGAGGATCGAACCATTTAAGGCCTCAGGCGGCGTCCTCCGCGAGGGGGCAGCAATTAAGTACAGGATCCGCTTCCAAGCCTCGGAGATGTCTTGGCCTGCGGGGCACTCGTAGATTCCGCCCTGTCCCCGGTGACGCACTTCCGCGCCGCCACTACAAGCGACGCGGGTTCGAGTCCCCGCTTCGGCCGCCATGGCGGGCGCGGAACCGGAGCCCGGGAGTGGCGGCGGCAGTGGCTCGGCTCTTCCGGGCCAGAGCCACAGCGCCGTGCCTGTAGCCCCGCTGGACCCCGAGCAGCTGCGGCGGGTCCTGGAGCAGGTGACTCGGGCGCAGCCACCGCCCTTCGTGCTGCAGGACGCGGCGCAGCGGCTCCGGGACGCGGCCCAGCAGGCCGCCCTACAGCGGGGACCGGGCGCCGGAGCCCCGCGCCTGCTGCCGCCCCAGGTGAGGCGCCGCGGGGGGTGGAGAGACTCGGAGGTGGCCGGTGTCGCCGGCGTTCGGAACCTAGGACATCCCCAACCCAGCTCCGTGGAAACGGCACAGTGATGCACCCTGCGCGCCCGGCCCTCTTCGGGTCATCCTCCTGCCTCTGCTCCATGCCCCTCCCAGCCTCCTGGGAGGCCTTTGTATTTGTATAGCACTTGTTGTATGACAGGTTCTACACTAAAGTCAAGTGTATCTTTCAACGCCCAGCGGATAGCGTAAGACACGTTCTGGGGGTAACAAGGAAGGACTTTCTGACACTGGAGCCCAGAACTGAGTAGATTAAAAGCAAACATCATAGTGAACTCTGCCTGAACGCAGCAGCCGCTAGCCCAGACCTGGGGCAGAGTTTTAAGCACACACACTCTAGTAGTTTGCTGTAGACTTTGGCAAACCCGAGTCCAGTACATTGCCCAGTACAGCAACAGATAACACACGGAGGCACCGTACTGCAGAACATCCCGGGTTTACTTCCCTGCACACACAGCGTTTGGCTATTGGGAGAGTAGGAACTAGAATCTGGCTCTGGGAGGATCCAGGCAGCTCCGAAACTGGAGGTACTCCATGCCAAGCGTTAAAACCCATCCCCTTTACTGGCTGGCGTTGGAAATGACAAAACACATCTGACTTTAGAACTGCCAAAAGGGAGAGCTACTTCCACCAGAATAAATAGGTAGAGAGTAGAATGCAATAATCTTCAGCATGGGTTTGGATTTGAGGTAGTTTTTGCCTGCACAGGCTTGCATCCAGTTGGTCATCGAGACTGGACAGTCAGTTGAGGGAATAGTTTAAATTTAAATAAAAAATAAAAACTTTGGACAGCTGAACCAGCAAGATGACCCAGCTTGGTAAAGGCACTTGCCACTGCCCAAACCTGGCAACCTCAGCTTGATTCCCGGAACCCAGGAAAAGGTAGAAGTGGAGAACTGATCCCACAAAGTTGTCCCCTGACCTACACACACATCATAAATTTAAGAAAAAGTCTGGCTGGGCGGTGGTGGCGCACGCCTTTAATCCCAACACTTGGGAGGCAGAGCCAGGCAGATCTCTGTGAGTTCGAGGCCAGCCTGGGCTACCAAGTGAGTTCCAGGAAAGGTGCAAAGCTACACAGGGAAACCCTGTCTCAAAAAACCAAAAAAAAAAAAAAAGAAAAAAGAAAAAGTCTGGCGCACACCTTTAATCCCAGCACTTGGGAGGCAGAGCCAGGTGGATCTCTGTGAGTTCCAGGCCAGCCTGGTCTACAGAGCGAGATCCAGGACAAGCACCAAAAACTACACAGAGAAAACCTGTCTCGAAAAACCAAACCAAAAAAAAAGAAAAGAAAGAGTCTGGAGACCTGTGTCTAGAAGCACGTTCTAGAAGCGTGAACGAACCTCTTTGGACATTGGTTTGCTTGTCTGCAGGAAAGATGGCGCTCTAGATTCCTGACTGATATGCTGCTGTAGAAGCAAGTGTCTCCCCCACAGGCCCTGCCTGTCCAGCAAGTCAGAATATGGACCACTACTGGTACAGCCTCCACCAAGTGGCCGCTCTGCGCCACACTGAGTGACGTGGCTGTCAGCAGCCACATAATGGTGTTTTGCTTTTTGTTTGTTTATTAGGTCTCATTTCTCAGGCTGGCTGCAAATTTGATGTGTGACTGAAAATGGCTTTGAATTTTTTTTTTTTTTTTTTTTTTTTTTTTGAGACAGGGTTTCTCTGTGTAACAGCCCTGGCTGTCCTGGAACTAGCTCTGTAAACCAGGCGGGCCTCGAACTCACAGAGATCCGCCTGCCTCTGCCTCCTTGCTGGCATTGAAGGTGTGCACCGCCATGCCTGGCTGACTTTGAATTTCTTTTTTTTTTTTTTTTTTAAAGATTTATTTATTTATTATGTATTCAGCATGTATGACTGCAGGTCAGAAGAGGGCACCAGATCTCATTACAGATGGTTGTGAGCCACCTTGTGGTTGCTGGGAATTGAACTCAGGACCTCTGGAAGAGCAGGCAGTGCTCTTAACCTCTGAGCCATTTCTCCAGCCCCTGACTTTGAATTTCTAATACTTCCTCAACAGGCTGCAGAATGCCTGTCCCCCCCTCACCCCAAGCTTATGTAGTGCTGGGCGGTGAACTCAAGGTTACCCCATGGCTAGTTAAACACTACCAACTGAGCTGTATCTCTCTAGCCCCTGGGGAATCAGCTCAAGAGAGGCTGAGTGACTGTGCCCAGTGTCTCTCAGGCAGCTATACTCTAGAGCCTGCCTTTTTACCACACTGCTAAATATGGCCGCAACTTTGAATTTGATATGACAGCTTCGGAAAGAGGTGATAATATCATTTCCATCAAATAAAAGCAAGGTTAGCTTGATAGAATTGTGGTTGGCAGCTGATCTGATGGAGATGGTCAAAACTGAACTTGCAGTAATGTACCTTGGTGGCCTGCTCTGTTGATGATCTTCCAGCCTAAACTGTACCATGAAAACCCAAAGGCCAAGCAGATATGAACTCTGCCCCTAAGGAGTCTGTGAACTAGCAGGAAGGGAAGCATGACCCAGATGATATCTAACCAAGGCCAAAACCTACGGGTACAAAGATAACATTCAGAAGAAAGGAAATAGTGTTCCTCAGAACACAAAGCGGTGTTGAAAAGGCAGTATCTGAACTAGATTTGCAAGACTTGGTTCTGATTGAAAAGGCAACAGAGGAGAGGCATTGTGCCAGGGTACAGTCGGGGCTCACTGATAACCAGGACTGAGGACACTGTGGGGGCAGTGGCCCCGAAGTACAAGGCAGTGGACACATTCCTCTGGGGTACTTTGGGACTCTGGTCCCCACCTCCCCTGCTCCTACCCTACAGGTACACTTCAGTTCCGCTAACACCTGTGCACATCTCCACGCTTCCATGAATCCATTTATTTTCCCTTAGACCAAAGTGTCTTGCATGCCTGACAAAATTCACTGCAACCTTCAAGGTACCTTAGAGATGGTCTCTTCTGGGACATTCTCTAATGCCTCTGTTGTATCACTGTGACATTATTATCTGCCTCTGGAGATCTGTCTGCTTACAGAGTCATCGGTGAAACTTTTGAAAAGACAGCTCTGGGGGATCTGTCCCAGGAGAGGCGATCTTACAGAACTTCAGGAAATGAGGAAGGGCAAGAGAGACCCCAGGGTGAGACCAGGACTTAGCTGATGTTTAGAAATGGGTGCCAGAGGGATTTAGGGACTTATGCTGAATGAAACAGACAAAGTATCAAGTGCTCCACCCACATGGTACACATCTTAAGTCAGTCAGGATATCAGATCAATGAATTAGACCAGTTTCCCTAAAACAAGGTGTGTGTATGCGTTCATTCTTAAGATGTCTGGTATATCCCAAGAGCTTGGAGAAATACTCTGGGTGACATATAGTGAAGGGATCAAGCAATGGTTCTGGAAGATGTGCACAGTAAAACTAGCTGTCATTGAGTCAAATGTAGGCCAGGAATTGGGCACCTACTCTATATACTTCTTCATACGCCATAATTACAGAGAGGGTTTGCTGTTTGTAATAGTGTACTAGGCATGCAGACGAGGGGCATTCCAGCTTGACTTCAGTGACAGTTCTATCCTGTGTGACACTGTGGCCAACCCCCCACTGGTAGAGGATTGGGTCTGAAGAGGGTTTGCTGGTCTCAGATCATTGGAGCTGCATCCCCAGCCCCTGGAGAAACACAGACGTTGTCATACCTTGAGGATGCTCCTGGCATCTGGTGGGTCAAGGTAGGGACACCACCCAGTATCCTCCAGTGCACAGGATAGCCTCCCATGACAAGTAGCCACCAGTCCAGGGTTTTAATTTGTGCTGAGGGTACGAACTCATGGCCTGGCTGGTGACCCTCTCTGGAAGAAATGCTAGTTAATTCTGTTCTGCAGGAGCAGGAACCTCTTCTCTCCTGCTGTCCCTGACCTCTTCCAGTCAGCTCATTGCTGACACACATGGCTAGCTGTCATAGACTATGCTCAATAACTACTCGTGGAGTGATGTTGAAGGCAGCTCTTTACTTTGGCAGGTGTCTGACTATTAGAGACAGCGCTGCCTCAAACCTGGGACCCAGAAAGTGAACTACTGGGTCAAAGAAACAGTTTCTTTGTTTTTGTTGGATTAAAAAACAACAACAACAAAAACTGTTGAAACTGCAACTTTCCTTGTAGGTGTGTGTTCCTGTTGAAACTCACACGTGTAAATAAATGCACACTAGTGAGGTTCTGAGCAGACGATGGAATGGTTAGAAAGCACCTGTCCATCAACAGGACAGTGAGGAGCTCAGCATTGAGAGACAGTGAACTACTTGGAGCTGCGTGCATCCACGAGGATGGAGTCCCAAAGAACAATCCAGAGTCTTGAGCATGCAGTCAGGCTACAGGAGATGGCTTTGTCTACTTTCTTGACGGTTGATGCTAAGATAGATACATAACATATTGTTACGTAGCCCAGGCCAGTCTGTAACTTGTGGCAATTCTCCTGCCTCACCCTCCTGATTGCTGAGGTTACAAGTATGTATGTCGCCAGTCCCAGATTGAGATGATACTATTTAGTTTTATTTATTTATTTATTTATTTGTTTGTTTGTTTGTTTATTTATGGTTTTTCGAGACAGGCCTTGCTGTCCTGGAGCTCACTCTGTAGATCAGGCTGGTCTCGAACTCACAGAGATCCGCCTGCCTCTGCCTCCCAAGTACTGGGACTAAAGGTGTACGCCACCACTGCCAAGCATGTTTTATCTTTTGAGACAGGATCTCACTGTACCCATGACAGGCCTGAAATTCACAGAGAACTGCTTGCTTCTGCCTCCAGAATTATGGGATTAAAGATGTGTACTGCCATACTTGACTATGATATTTTTTTTCTTCTTAAAATTTCTTTTATGTGTATAAGTGTTTTGTCTGCTTATGTGTCTGTGGGCCTTGGATCCCCTGGGACTGAAGTGACAGATGGTTGTGAGCTGTGATGTGGGTGCTGGGAATTGAACCCAGGTCCTCTGGAAGAGCAGCCAGTGCTCTTAACCTCTGAGCCATCTCTTCAGTCATCTTTGATACTGTTATAAAGTTTAAAAAACACTGTCAAGAAGGCTGGAGGGATGGCTCAGTGGTTAGGAATGTTTTCTGCTCTTCCAGAGGACTTAGTTCTGTTCCCATCACACATGTTAGCAGCTCACCTGTAACAACTCCAGCTTCAGAGGATCTGATCTCCTCTGGCGGTTTCAGGCACCTGCAAACATATAGCTTACATTCAGACACACACACACACAAACACACACGCACACCAAAAAATAAAAAAGGGGAGGGCTGTAGAGATGGCTCAGTGGTTACGAGCGTGTACTGTGCTTTCAGAGGATCCAAGTTCAGTTCTCTGCACCCGCTTTAGGTAGCTCACAGCTTGGGGACAGCGGGTGAGGGCAGTACAGATGTTGAGAATTGTAATGCTTCTTTTCTTTCTCCCGCTTTCTTTTTGTGTTTAAGCAACTTGAAGCCATTTGTTTCAAGGTGACAGCTGGTGACACAAAACGAAAGGAAAGGCCAATGCCCCCTCTGGCCACCATCCAACCCAAAACGGCAAGACAAAGTCAGCTACCCGGGGGAAGCTCCAGCCTGGGGCTCTGTGTCTCCAGCCCTCAGCTGCTCAGGGTGCAGGCCCTGGCCAGGACTGGGTCACAGCTGCGCTTCCTCAGAGGCTTCCCTCAACCTCCTGCTCCTCGGGTGCTTGTACAGAAGCCACTGCCAGCCCTGCAGCCAGTCCCTTGGAGGAGAGTCAAGGCCCCCCAGGCCACACATGGGCATGGTGTCACTCTGAGCCCTCTGGCAGCCTCTGACCCGCCTTCTGTAGCACCTGTCTCGTCCAATTCAGCACGCCTGTTCATTTCCAGCTTGCACGCAGCACATACCGAGAAGTTGAAGAAATCTTTAAAGGTGAAAACCCGGTCTGGACGGATATCCCGGCCTCCCAAATATAAAGCCAGAGATTATAAATTCATCAAAACAGAGGACTTAGCAGATGGGCACCTGTCAGATTCCGACGACTACTCTGAGCTGAGTGTGGACGAGGAGGAAGAAGAGAGGGAGAAGCCGGGGCGCTTTGACATTGAGGGCTGTGCCCTGAGGCCCAAGGCCTTTAAGTGTCAGACTTGTGAAAAGTCATACATAGGAAAGGGGGGACTGGCGAGGCATTTTAAACTCAATCCCGGCCATGGCCAGCTGGAGCCTGAGATGTTGCAGTCGGAGAAAGCTGATGGGAGCCTGACCCTGGGGTGCATAGACTCAAAGACCCGAGGCCTAGCTTCCCCCACACTACCCACACCAGCCGTTCTCTGCACGGAAGAGGCAGAGGCAGCAAGGCGTGTCCTGCAGGTAACATTTCTGTTGGTGACGGAGCGGTTTTCTGAGCTTTCCCCCACCCTCCTTCAATTAAATGTTAACAGTGTCAGATGGGGCTCAGGCCCCGAGTCCTGAGGGTCCCAGACCCACATTTGTCTCACTGATGCTGAACAAATGGGAGGTATGTATCTTTTGCCTGTGGCCCTGCTTAGTGAGAACATTTGGTGAACATGGCCATGGTTGTCTAGATCTGATCTGTGTGACATGTCATAGTGCATTCTCGCTGGAACTCAGGTGGCCGAGGAATGTGGGAAAGGTCAGGTTTGGGGCATAATCCATAGTGGGAAGAAGTGCCTGCCTGCTGTGACCTCTTTCCCGGCAGTGGATCAGGGCCTTCTAAGGTGGGTAAAGCTGGTAGCTAGTTTGCTTAACATTAGTACCTTGGGGTCCTGACAGATAACATTTGGGCCCAGGAGATCTGTTCTGGGGCCTGGTGGTAGAGTCCCGGGACAGCCTTGTGATGGGATTGCAAATGTTATCTTGCCTTCAGCGTTGGGGTCAACAGCACAGCTGCCATTTGTGTCGTGCAGACATTGGGCAGTCCCTGTGCCAAGGGTATCAGTCTCTCATTCATTGTTCGTCTCCTCCTCTCTCTGTCTCCCCCACCCCTCCCTCCCCTCCTCTTCCAGTCAGTCTTCGTGATAAGGACCGCTCTCAAGGACTTGATCTTCCAGGCAGGGGCTCTGCCGCTGGGCCGTCCCCAGCCCTGTACAGTTTCTTTTTTCTTTCTTTTTGAGATCCACCTGCCCCTGCCTCCCCAGTGCTGGGATTAAAGCCTGTGCCGAACACCCAGCCCTGCACGTTTTCTCAGTGACCACTCCTACTTGAGGTACTGCAGTGAGGCCCAGAGGGGTGACTGATCGAGCCCAGGCCCAGCACTTCTAGGTCTCAGTCCCAAGTGGAGTCAGACCAAGTCTTTTGGCTTCAGAGCCTACACTGTAGCCTTTCATAGAAGGAAAACTCCAATCTTGTTATGATTTTTAAAATTTTTATATGTGTGTGTATGTGTGTGTGTGTGCCCCCTGATAAGGATCCTGGGAACCAAACTCAGGTCTGGTGGCCATGTATGCTCTTAACCACAAAGCCATCTTTCCAGCCCTGGAAAGCTTCAACTTTTGAAAAGCCACTCTGAGCTGGGTGATGGCGCATGCCTTTAATACCAGCATTTGGGAGGCCGAAACAGGTGGATCTTTGTGAGTTCAAGGCCAGCCTGGTCTGCAGATCAAGTTCCAGGATAACCAGGGCTACACAGAGAAATCCTGTCTCAAAAAACAACAAAAAACAAAACAAAAAAAAAGCCATTCTGTTTCTCAAGTTGTACGGAGGCCAGTGGTGTGGTGTTGGAGAGCAAATGGTACCTAATATGAAAGATTGTTGAGCTCTCCCTCCATTTGCCAAAAGTAGGACATAGATTTATGAAGACGGAAGGCACCCTGCCCTGTCTTGACCAGGGGAGCAGAGGCTAACCCCTCAAGACAGCTGTAGATTGCTTGTCTGTCTGCCTGGAGAATCCAAACCACAGGTCGCCACGTTAACAAGCTCTACTAACAAACCTGAATCGGCCAGTTATTTGTCTCTCCTAAGTTACTCTGCCCTTTCTTGGTTGTTGTTTTTGTTTCTGAGACAGGGTTTCTTTGTGTAGCCCTGGTTGGCTGGAACTCACTATGTAGACCAGGCTGGCCTGGAGCTCACAGAGATCTGCCTGCTTAGGCCTACCTTTGGAGTGCTGCGATCAAAGACATATGAGACCACGTCTGGCTTGTTGTTGTTGTTTTTTAAAGATTTATTTTTTATGTGTATTGGGGTTTTGCCTGCATGTATATCTGTGTGAGGATGCCCTGGAATGGGAGTTACAGACAGTTGTGAATTGCCATGTGGGTGCCTGGAATTGGACCCGGTCCTGTGGAAGAGTGACCAGTGCTCTTAACCACTGAGGCATCACTCCAGCCCCTTGGTTTTGTTTTTTGAGACATGTCCTATTGATGTTGTCTAGGGGGTGCAGGAATGAGTTCATTTTTTTCTGCCAATTAAACAATTAAAAGGCAGAAAAGAAGTGTTGATGGGAATCTTCAGGAGTCCCAGAAGAGCCATTGCATGATAGCTGGGAAACTGGGATCCCCTCTGGGAAATTGAGGTCCCCTCTTAGGAGTCTTAGTCTCATTAATAAAGAATTTAAGAACTGATACAAACAAAGCTTGAGGACAGTTTACTCGAGTTTAAAAGAAACCCCAGGGAAGGCAAACTAAGGAGATTGAGAAGAGAGGAACCAAAGCCAGGCTGCTGGAGATGAGGCAGCCTGGGGGTGCTGCATGTGGGGAGGGGAGCTTCAGAGAACCGGTAAGGAAGCCCAGAATGTTACTCAGGGAGTTTAAGATCAGACTTAGGCTCTGGGCAGCATTGGAAAGAAAAAGACAGAAGAGGAGGAGGAGGAGGAAGAAGGAGATAGTTGCTCCTCTTTGAGTTAGGACTCAGAAAGGGCCAAACCCAGTTGAACCTCATGGTGGTGACTCTGCTAATGGGGACTGCACTGGCAAGTGGGAATTCTGGAATTCTAAGCTGAACCCATCTTCCTGGGCTTAGTTCCCTAGCCAAATTCCCAACTTACTCCGTTACAATATTTCCACCTAGTGGCTTTCTTCCTTCCTCTTTTTAATTAATTTTATTTTATGTGTTCTGGGTGTTTTGCTTGCATGTATGTCTGTGCACCATGTGTGTGCATTTTGTCCTTCGAGGTCAGAAGAGGGCATTGGGTCCCTGGACCTGGAGTTACAGATGGTTGTGAGCCACCACATGCTGGGATTAGAGCTCTGGTCTCTGGAAGAGCAGCCAGCACTGTTGACTCCTGAGCCATCCCTCCAGCCCGGTGGATTCCATTCTTTTGTTGTTGTTTTGTTTGGTTTTTCCAGACAGGGTCTCACAGTGTGTGTAGCTCTGGCTCTCCTAGATCTCACTATGTAACCAGGCTGACCTTGAACTCACAGAGATCCCGGCCTCGGCCTCCTACTGTTGGGAAGGTTTAAAATGTATCATTATAGTTAAAGAATGTTAACTAAAGAAAAATAGTGTTGAAAGTTCTTTGTATTTGACTGGACTTTTTTTGCTGTAAGGTTTACATGTTGGAAATAGCGCATGATTTTTCAAAATCTCCTTTTGTTTTGTTTTTGGGTGTGCAACACTATCTAGAATGGTCAGCCTGCTGAAGTTGAAGAGACACTGGTACCTGAATCAGAAAGTAGAAGTCCTTCAGCGCTTCTGAGACCAGAGAAATACCTAGAACCTAGGAATGGAAGTTGGGCAAGCCAGGCAGAGTCCAGCACAGCCAACCTCCAGCAGAGCGGAGCTGTCCCACCACATAGCGACCCTGCTGCACCTTCAGGGCTGAGCATCTCCAGGGAAGCGCGGCTCCGGGAGGTAACTTGCTCTCATACAGTGTACTTGAAGCCTGCCTGTGATGCAGTATGTAACAACTTCCTACCTGCCTTCCCTGTTTCTTGTTTGTTTGGAGACAGGCTCACAATGTGAGGGCTCCCTCTAGCCTCCCTGTTTCTTGTTTGGAGACAGGCTCACAATGTGTAGGCTCCCTCTAGCCGTGCGTCTATTTGCTTCAGTCTCCTGAGTGCTGGTCTTACAGGCCTGGGCCAGCATCCCTGGCTCACTGTCAGGTTTCGGAAGTGAAAAGTAAAACACCAACATCCTAGCCTCGTGTAGGGGTGCACACTAGAAACACCAGCACTGGGGAGGCTGAAGCAAGTGGGTGGAGAGTTCCAGGCCGTGGGGCTAGAGTTGGCTCAGTGGTTAAGACTTGGCTTTCTAGAGAGCGGTTTTCCGAGAACATGCCTGAGGCACAATGTGGTGTTACAAGTTGCAACTTTGCTCCATTCCCGTGTCCTGGCAACGTTGGATGATTGACTGTTGAGACGTGAGGTAGAACCTTTGGAGTTAGTGGTTGGCGTTAGCATCAGCACCATTTATAGAGCATTTTCTGTGAGGCAGCCCGGCTCCACTCCCTCCCGTGTTTCTGCTGGGCACTCGGTCAGCCTCCTCTCGTTTATCTCACAGTGTCTCCCACCTTAACAGATGAGCAGCTGAAACCCCGGGAAAGCAAGTTGCTCAGGGTGGCTTCAGGCCAGAACTCGAATCCAGGTGTCGGGGCAGTGAGGCTGGCCCAAGCTGTGCATAAATGGCTGTGGTGGGACTCTGTCTTCCTGGTAACACCCTCTCTGTCCTACAGTTGAGTGGTTGCTGGGAGCAGGGCCACTCCGACTCTCTTAGATGAGAATCCCCACCCCAGAAGCTCACATTTATTTGTACACGAACTGTGTGCCCATAACGGATCCGGCCCGGCTCTGGTTATGGAGGTTATGGAGGGGCAGTGTGTGTAAACTAGACAGAGCTGCCCCTCTGGCCGGAAGTAGGGCAGTGATGGTCATACCTCTCGGGGGATGTTCTCACTGAGCTCGCACTGAAGAGATGACGGCTATCCAAAACTTGCCCAGAGTTTAAGTCATGGCAAGGTGACATCTTATACACTGACCTTCCTGCTCATCCATAGAGAAGAACCCATAAGGTTGTATTTTCCTAAGAGCTTTTGAGGGTTGAAGTTAAACATACTTGTTTAGTGCATGTGCATGTGTGTGAGAGAGAGGCTCCGTGCCTGCAGGCACTTACGTACAACTGTGGGTACGTGGGGATCAACTTTACAGAGTTGGCTCTCCGCTTCCACTTCCACCTGGGTTCTGGGAATGGAACTCACGCACCAGGCTTGCGGGGCCGAGCTATCCTGCAGGCCCTGTAGTGAAAGACTTTGTCCTGCCAATAAGTTGTTTCTTTAGCTTCTCTGGTCCCCTCAGGTATTGGCAGCTCCTGATTACTCTCTCTAGGCCTGGGCCACATGACTTCCCCACAGCTCACACACTTGGTGTTTCCAAACTGCAGATTCCCATGTTTGTTCTTCCTGATTAGACCTCTCCCTGGAGCCTCACATTTCTCATCAGAAAACTCTCCAGGGGCTGGGCATACACCTTTGATCTCAGTACTTGAGGCAAAAGCAGGCAGATCTCTGGGACTTCAAGGCCAGCCAGGGCTACATAGTGAAATACTTTCTCCAACAAAACCAATCCCACCCCAAAAGAAAGAAAACTCTCTACCTGGGTGGGCTATGTACTACCCCATCTTCCATATTGTGGAGAGTCCGCCAGCTGGTGTCCTGTCCACCCTGTGATATGGAGGGCCCCTAGGTGCTCCAGTTAGAAGCCCCATCTCTTCTTGTCTTTCTCCTTTTCCCTCCTCTCCCTTCCTTCCCTTCCTCTTCCTTGTTTTTGTTTAGTTGCTTTTTTTTTTTTTTTTTTTTTTTTGGTTTTTTGAGACAAGATTTCTCTGTGTAGCTTTGGTAACTGTCCTGGATCTCACTCTGTAGACCAAGCTGGCCTCGAACTCACAAAGATCTGCCTGCCTCTGTCTCCCAAGTGCTGGGATTAAAGGTGTGTGCCACCACCACCCCGCTTTGTTTAGTTTTTTGAGACATTGTTCACTCTGTAGCCCAGGCTGGCCTCAAACTTCCATTATGGAGTCCAGGCTGGCCCTGCCAATCTTTCTACCTCAAGCTTTCCAAGTGTTGAGCTTATAGGCTAAACTGCTACCCCTGGCTCTGCCTCTTTCTTCTCCCTGACCCACCTGCATCCCTGTCTTGGACCTGATAGGCTCTCTCTGTCCCCGTCTGCTGCACCTCCCTTGTTTACAAGGCCTTGCCTTCTTGCTTTTATGTTGCTGTTGCCCCTGCTGCTGTGCCCCCTGCAGACCCACACCCTCCTCTCCTTATACCACCTTCCTAAAACCTCCTTCCAGAACCAGGCACTTTGATGCATACTGGTAATCCCCAGAGGACTGAGGCAGGAGGCCCATTTAAGGCTAGACCTTGAGGCTAACCTAGGCAACATAGCAACACCCCACCTTTAACAGAGCATAACCTTCTGTATGCCATCCTTGGAAGGAAATCTAAGTCTTTGGGCTTCTCCCAGCCTAGCATGGGCTGCTTTTCCACCCACCTGCCTGCCTGCCTGCCAGTCCCTGGGTGCTGTCTGCAGCTGTGTGGCCCTCCTCTGCAGCTCTGTGGCCCTCCTCTGCAGCTGTGTGGCCCTCCTCTGCAGCTCTGTGGCTCTCTTCTGCAGCTCTGTGGCCCTCCTCTGCAGCTGTGTGGCCCTCCTCTGCAGCTGTGTGGCCTCCTCTGCAGCTCTGTGGCTCTCCTTTGCAGCTGTGTGGCTCTCCTCTGCAGCTCTGTGGCCCTCCTCTGCAGCTCTGTGGCCCTCCTCTGCAGCTCTGTGGCCCTCCTCTGCAGCTGTGTGGCTCTCCTCTGCAGCTCTGTGGCCCTCCTCTGCAGCTCTGTGGCTCTCCTCTGCAGCTGTGTGGCCCTCCTCTGCAGCTCTGTGGCCCTCCTCTGCAGCTGTGTGGCTCTCCTCTGCAGCTCTGTGGCCCTCCTCTGCAGCTCTGTGGCTCTCCTCTACAGCTCTGTGGCTCTCCTCTGCAGCTCTGTGGCTCTCCTCTGCAGCTCTGTGGCTCTCCTCTGCAGCTGTGTGGCCCTCCTCTGCAGCTCTGTGGCCCTCCTCTGCAGCTCTGTGGCCCTCCTCTGCAGCTGTGTGGCTCTCCTCTGCAGCTCTGTGGCTCTCCTCTGCAGCTCTGTGGCCCTCCTCTGCAGCTCTGTGGCTCTCCTCTGCAGCTCTGTGGCCCTCCTCTGCAGCTCTGTGGCCCTCCTCTGCAGCTCTGTGGCCCTCCTCTGCAGCTCTGTGGCCCTCCTCTGCAGCTGTGTGGCTCTCCTCTGCAGCTCTGTGGCCCTCCTCTGCAGCTCTGTGGCTCTCCTCTGCAGCTGTGTGGCCCTCCTCTGCAGCTCTGTGGCCCTCCTCTGCAGCTGTGTGGCTCTCCTCTGCAGCTCTGTGGCCCTCCTCTGCAGCTCTGTGGCTCTCCTCTACAGCTCTGTGGCTCTCCTCTGCAGCTCTGTGGCTCTCCTCTGCAGCTCTGTGGCTCTCCTCTGCAGCTGTGTGGCCCTCCTCTGCAGCTCTGTGGCCCTCCTCTGCAGCTCTGTGGCCCTCCTCTGCAGCTGTGTGGCTCTCCTCTGCAGCTCTGTGGCTCTCCTCTGCAGCTCTGTGGCCCTCCTCTGCAGCTCTGTGGCTCTCCTCTGCAGCTCTGTGGCCCTCCTCTGCAGCTCTGTGGCCCTCCTCTGCAGCTCTGTGGCCCTCCTCTGCAGCTGTGTGGCCCTCCTCTGCAGCTCTGTGGCTCTCCTCTGCAGCTGTGTGGCCTCCTCTACAGCTCTGTGGCTCTCCTCTGCAGCTGTGTGGCCCTCCTCTGCAGCTGTGTGGCCCTCCTCTGCAGCTCTGTGGCCCTCCTCTGCAGCTCTGTGGCCCTCCTCTGCAACTTGTGGCCCTTCTCTGCACCAGAGGCACTTGTAGTTAGCTGCTTCTCCTGTAGGGCGCCGTGTTTGAAGCCAGAATTGACCATGCTGTTCTGTAGTTGGCAACAGTGTGAAACTGCATACAGCTGGATTCTGGGGATCTTTCTGCCCAAGTCACACCAACTCCAGTCTAAGGTGGCCAACTCTTTGTTTCGGCAGGCTCTCAAGCAGTGTGGCCGAGAGGAGCTGGTGGAACTGGTCCTGCCTCAGCTGGCTCAGGTGGTGACCCTGTATGAACTTCTTGTGGTGAAGGTGAGACCCTGTAGTATGTCAGGTTAGAGGTTAACTTGAGCATGCCATGAGCTGGCCTCCCTACTTTAGAATGCACCAGGCCGTTTGGAATAGTGTATTTTCCTTCCCGAGGACAGAGCTGAAGAGAGCTCTAATCCCAGAGCCTGTCTGCGCAGGTGTCTCAGCACGCCACTGTCACTCCCATGACTATTTTATCTTTGTGAGGGAGCAGGCGGGTGAGAAAACCTTGGTGGCCTTAGGAGGTGGCAATGCGCCCCGTAGGAGCTAAAGGTGCCTTTTTGCCAACTGTATGCCCCCTGTGGGGTCACCCTAGTCCCAGGGTTTGTGGTCTTCACCCTAAGGGTTTGTTTTCTGACACCCCACCCCCAAGCTGGCCTCTCAGAGCTGGGCATGGTGGTGGCATACATAGGTACCACTTGGAAGTAGAGGAAGCGCCAACCACTGAGCACTCGCAGGGTGAGGCCTCAGCTCCCTCTGTCTCCAGGGTTATTTTCTGCCGCCCCTGTCGTTGCCTTGGTTTAACTCTGCTCATCTTCACCTTCACAAAGGTTGAGAGAAGTCCCGCAGCGAAGCCTGTCTTTCCTGCTGTGTACAAGGAGTTTGAAGAGTTGTATGACGTGGTGAAGAGGATGTGTCAGGATTACCTCAGCAGCTCTGGCCTGTGTTCTCAGGAGCCCCTGGAGATAAACAATGACGAGGTGCCATCTTGAGGGGCAAAACATTGCTCTTAGTTAGCCAAGGGAAGGAGTCTGTGAACAAGGGAGGGTGTTGTTAGTAAGACATCTTCATACTTAGCCACCGGATGGCCTTGTCCTGTCAAATGAAGTTTTTGTTTTATTAATATAGGACTATAAACCCACCAGAAAACTGAACATTGTAATAGCTGAAAGAAAACTGAGAACACCACAGTCCCCTATGCCCTGATGTGCAGGCTAACTCACTCTTCCTCCTTCCTACCTTCCTACCTTCCTTCCTTCTTTCCTTCCTTCCTTCCTTCCTTCCTTCCTTCCTTCCTTCCTTCCTTCCTTCCTTCCTTTCTTTCTTTCTTTCTTTTTTTCTTTCTCTTTTTGAGTTGGGGTTTCACTGTGTTGTGTAGCCCTGGCTGTCCTGGAACTCACTCTGTAGACCAGGCTGGCCTCAAACTCAGAGATCCACCTGCCTCTGCCTCTAAAGTGCTGGGATTAAAGGTGTGGGCCACCACCGCCAGCTTCTTTCTTTTTCAAAAGAGCTTTTTATTAGATTTATTTTGTGTGTATGAGTGTTTGCCTACATCTATACCTGTGTTCCATGTTTGTACCTGGTGCTCAGGGAGGTCAGAAGAGGGTGTTGTATCCAGTAAAACTAGAGTTACAGGTAGTTGTGAGCCACCAGGTGGGTGCTGGGAACAGAACCCGGGGCCTCTGCCAGAGTGGCAGGTGCACTCACCTACGGACCGCTCTCTCTGGGGCCTGGTTTCCTGTGTATTCCAGGGCTAGTGCATATGTTTCTGGTTGTTTTGACACAATTCTTATTTCATCACCCTGCTGCCTTTGGCTAGGTTGAGCTTTTTTCAAAACATAAGTTTGAGGCTAAAATGGTTTGACTTGTTTTGGATAAACTTCTTTTGGAACTCAGCTCTGGCCCCACTGTGTATGAAGCAAGCCCCCTCACCAGCCCTGACAGACCTGCGCCCGCCCCTGAGTCTCAGTGTTCTCTTCTGATTTAAGTGGCACTTCTGGCTCTGACACTGCTACCAAGAATCAACAGTCTCCTGTATTTAAAACAAACTGTGACACATGTAGTGTGCATGCTTAGAAAGGCAGTGTGGAAGCCTGGAGAGATGGCTCAGCAGTTAAGGGTACTTCTTGTTCTTGCAGAGGACCCAGGTTCAATTCCTAGAACTCACACGGTAGCTCACAACCATCTGTAACTCCAGTTCCAGGGCATCGGCTATCTTCTGCTGACCTCCAGGAGCAACAGGCATGCACACGGGGCACTGGCATACATGTGAGCAAAACATTCGTACACTTAAATAAATAAGTCTTGAAAAGAAAGGAAAGGCTGTGCGGCCCATAGCTGCCTTTCCTTCCCACTAACCCGATGGAGCTTCCTGCCTGTACGTTTCCATGGCAAGCTACCTCGGTCTGTGCTGTGATAGGGTGTCTTAGTTACTTTTCTATTGCTGTGATAAAACACCATGATCAAGGCAACTTATTTTTTAAAAAAGCATTTGGCTGGGTGGTGGTAACGCACGCCTTTAATCCCAGCACTCGGGAGAAAAGGGAAGTGGATCTCTGTGAGTTCCAAGGCTACACAGAGAAACCCTGTCTCAAAAAACAGAATAACAAGAATAAATAAATAAAGCATTCAATTGGCTTGTGGTTTCAGAGAGTAGAGCCCATGATGCTGGAACAGAGGCATGGGAGCAGGAACGCCTAAGAGCTCACCTTTTGTTTTTGTTTTCTTTTCATTAATTACATCAATTGTATTGATTTATTACATTCATGATATTATGTCCTGATACTACTGTCCATTTGTGGGGCTTATCCATCACACAAAACAAGAGCTCACATTTTGATCCACAAGCAGGAGGCAGAGAGGACGTTGAGAATGGCATGAATCTTTTGAAACCTCAAGCTTACCCCCAGTGACACAGCTCCTCCATCAAGACCACACCTCCTAGTCCTTCCCAGACAGTTCTACTAACTGGAACTAAGCATTCACACCTATGAGCCTATGGGGGCCATTCTCATTCAGACCGTCACAGTTGGTATGTGCTGGTCTGGGGTTTTTTGGGTGGTTGGGGGAGCTGTTATTGGTCACCATTGTTAGTCTTGGATTTTCTATGTAGAGAAGGATGACCTTGGATTCTAAAAAGATTATTTTATATGTATGGGTGTTTTGTCTGCACGAATTATGGTTTTGATTGAGATGATAAAGCACTGTGACCAAAACGTGGGAGAAGGCCGGGCGGTGGTGGCGCACGCCTTTAATCCCAGCACTCGGGAGGCAGAGCCAGGCGGATCTCTGTGAGTTCGAGGCCAGCCTGGGCTACCAAGTGAGTTCCAGGAAAGGCACAAAGCTACACAGAGAAACCCTGTCTCGAAAAACCAAAAAAAAAAAAAAAAAAAAAAAAAAACGTGGGAGAAAAGTGTTTATTTCAGCTTATAACTCACACTCCACCACTGAGGAGAGTCAGGACAGGAAACTAGAGGCAGGAACTGAAGCAGAGGCCATGAAGGAGTGCTGCTTACTGGCTTGCTCCCCATCGATTGCTCAGCCTAATTTCTTTCTTTCTTTCTTTTTTTTTTTTTGAGACAGGGTTTCTCTGTGTAGTTTTTGGTGCCTGTCCTGGATCTCACTCTGTAGACCAGGCTGGCCTTGAACTCACAGAGATCCGCCTGGCTCTGCCTCCCAAATGTTGGGATTAAAGGCGTGTGCCAGCACCTCCTGGACCACTTTCCTAGTTACCTGGGCTCTCCCACATCAATCCTTAATCAGAAAAATTCCCCAGAGTCTTGCCTACAGGTTAATTTCATAGAGACATTTTCTCAGTTAAGATTACTCTTCCTGTCTGTGTCTAGGTGTGTGTCACACTGACACACAACCAACCAGCACAGTGTATGTCTTGTGCTCTGTGGGTGCCTGATGCCTGAAGAGGACATCAGGTCTCCTGGTCTGGAGTTGTAGATTGTTGTTACTTGCCATCTGGGTGCTGGGATTTGAACCCAGGTCCTCTGGAAGAGCAAAGAATACTTAACTACTGAGCTTAACTACTCTTCAGTCTCAACCTTGAACTTGTGATTTTTCTTACCTCTACCTCTGAGTGCTGATATTACCAGTTTTCCCACTGTGTCCTGTGCATGTGGTCCTGGGAATCAAACTCAGCCTAGTGAATTCCAGGCAAGTGCTCCACCGACTTACATTCCCAGCTCCAGAATATATTGTTAACGAGCCTTTGGATTTTTTAAATTATGTATTATAAACATAATGGATTATTTTGCAAAGCCTTTTACAGATTCCCCATAGATGACAATAGTCACTCATGTTGTGATTATTTTTATTTTATGTGTGGGTTAGAGCAGTGGCTGTGGCTTACTTCGTAAGGGGACACTATTCAGCGTGGGCAGTGCTATACTTACCAAGCCAAATTTTCTCTGTTAGTTGTGTTCTGCTGGCCTTCCTACTGATCCTCACCCTGTCTTACAGGGTGTTCTCTTTATTTGTTTTTTGATTTTTTGTTTTTTGTTTTTTTTTGAGACAGAGTTTCTCTGTGCAGCTTTGGAGCCTGTCCTGGATCTCGCTCTGTAGACCAGGCTGGCCTTGAACTCACAGAGATCTGTCTGCCTCTGCCTCCCAAGTGCTGGGATTAAAGGCATGCACCACCGCCTGGCGGGTGTTCTCTTTATAAAGTCCAGTGTAAACTGTCTCTACCCTTTATATTTGGTATATATACAAACATACATATATATGTATACGTATATGTATATGTACACACGCACACACACACTTTGTAGATGGAAGCCATACTGGGTCTCACAAAAACCTTGTAAGGCAGCTGAAACTGGGAGCCAGGTGAGGGGAGCTTTAGGAGGCAGATGGGGAGGAAAAGATGAGTAAGAATTGAAAGAGAAGGAAGAAGAACAACTGGCAAGAGAGGAACCGTGGTCGCATCAGCTTTAGTAGGACAGTGGAGAGGAGAGGTTCGACTCCACCCCGACACAGATCCTGCTAGCTTTGGTGATGGTGGGCTCCACCTTAGCTGCTCCACAGAACTTTGTGTCTGTCGTCTTTCTCCTTGTTAACTTCATTTCCCTGTGCAAAGGGACCGCTTGGGTTTCTACTCAGGAATTGACACACTTGCACAATGCCTGCTCTACGCCAAGTTTATTTCTCCTGTTCCCCTTCAGGTCGCCAGGTCATTAGGAATCACAGAATTCCTGAGGAAGAAAGAGGCACACCCAAGCAGTGCACCCGAGTGCTCCAGCCCGAAGCTGGAGGGGAAGCTGGAGGAAGCCAGTGGACAGAAGAGGGAGAGGGAGCAGGGTGTGGTGGTAAGTGGTGCAGTGTTGAGCATCTGTGTAGATGTTGGAGTCAGGATCTGGCCGTGCCAGTCCCAGTTTCTCCCCCTCTCTAGGCTGCTTCTGCTCTCAGATAAGGGAGTCTTTTCTCTGCAGGCCACAGGGGAAGGGCTGGCCACAGTGAAGAAGGCCCGAACAGCAGCTCTGTCCACAGATGTCCCTGGGTGTCCTGCCGCCATCAGTGGATGCCAGCAGAAGCCTGGGTCCTCGTGTGCTCCAGCCTCCAGCAAGGGTAAATCACATATTTTGTGGGTTGTCCCATGCTCAGTGGTCCTACTGGCAGGCACAGATGCACCCAGAGTCATCACTGACTGGTTGACCTGGGCTGGTCTGAGAGGTTGGGCAGAGTTGAGTCCAAAGGACACATATATCTGTAGCTTAGCATCTGAGACATGGCTGCACTGAACATGTGAGATTTAACACTTGAAAAGAAGACATTCTGGCTTTAATTCTGCCTGTAACCAGATCCTGTCTACTAGGTACTTTGAACATACAGCATTGGCAATACTCACATGCCTTTGCAAAGACTTACCAGGACTATCTGATTTCTGACCTGATGTAAGGTCTTCAGTGGAAGAGGCCCTGCCCATTTTAGAACCTCTATGTAGCTCTGCCCTAGGGGAAGGCAGTTGTGTTCAGTGGGCACAGTGAACCTTCTAGCACAGTGTGGAGCACTGCCCCATGCTTAGTCACTTTTCTCTTGTAGCTTCATCTGGACTTTGGAGTTAGTGATCTATCTTACAGTTCACTTCCTCTCACCAAGTGGTTCTTCAGTACCTGTATATGTCCTACATTCCTAGGGCTGAGTGACAGGGTCCTTGACCTCAAGACCGAGGTTCTTGGCTGGGTACCTGGGAAGGTTATGTTGAAATAACCTTCCAGGATTTCCAGGGCCACGTGGGGTTGGGGTAGGGGTTGTCTATGGATCTGTTTTGAAAGGCCTCTCTTACCCTTGGGCTCCCCTCCAGAAACCTACTGTTCATTCATTCAGTGAAATTAGCCTGCTAAACTCTCTCGGAACACGTTTTTAATACAAAATCTACCTTTGTGAATAGATACAGTAGCCAATAAAAACCTGTTGCCTAGCCCAAGGAGCAAAGAGAATCTGCATTACTGCTTCTTTGAAGAAAGTTCATTTGGACCAGCTCATTGTGGTGATGAGCAAGTGACTGTTGTTTTTCTGTACCATTCAGGTTCTGCCCCTGTAGCCATTGAGAAGTCTTCTCCCTGCTCTGAAGGAAGCTGTGGGGAGATGGCTCCTGCTAGTGACGGGAGTGGACCACCTGCGGGCCAGCAGCTTTCAGTGATGCCATCTGCTGACTTTGAAGGCAGGGGTGGCTCTGCAGACCCTGCTCTTCTGTGTCAGGATGTCAGTAGGTCAGCTTTTTATTCCCAGGTAGCAGAGCCCAGAGAGCTGCCCCCAGCCCAGTTGTCAGTGTTTTCTGAAGAGAATGCTCCAGAACACACTGTAGAGCAGGAACCTGGGGCCATCCAGAAGAGCAACAGTGTCTGCGGTAACCCATCATCAGGTGGAGGAATGGAGTCCCTGCTTCTTGGAGAATCGGGAAATGCAGAGGCAGGAGACTTCAGAGAAATGAGCCCACCCCACCTGAGTGGGCAGCAGGCCAGCCCCAGCCATGCCCTGCCTGCAGAGGCTGCAGCCTTCTCACTCCAGAACATCTTGCCTGTGAATGTCCTGCCAGCTGCCTGTGTTTTCAAGACTGTGCCCAAGCCAGAGCCTCATTCCGGACCAGATGGATCACTGTCCACTAGTGGGGGTCCCAGTGTGGGGAGCAAAGCTGGGGATATAAGCCGGTTCTTCTCTAGGATGGAGGCAGATGGCCAGAGAGAGCCAGAGACTGTGGCTGCTGTGGGGGAAACCCTGGCTTTTGAGATTTCTGATGTGTGCCAGGAAGTGTTGTCTCAGGGACAGGAGCAGATTTTTATTCGGACTTCCAATGGGCTTATTTTGTCCCATCCAAGTACCATCCAAGTGTCTCAGGAAGAGAACGCTGTCATAGAGACTAATGCAGGGGCTTCTGTCTTGAGGTTTGACCCGCCAGAAGGAGTTGCTCTTGAAGCCATGGAGGCCTTCCACACTGTAGAGGCAGAGCCCTCTCAGTGACCAGGAGTCGCGTGCGTGCGTGTGTGCGTGCGTGCGTGCGTGCGTGCGTGCGTGCGTGTAAATGTAGGGTGTTGTTTTTGGAGGCAGGGTCCCATGTAGCCCAGACTGGCCTTGAACTTAATATCTAACCGAGGCTGGCCTTGAACAACTAATCTTCCTGCCTAAGTCTCCTGAGTGGTAGGGTGACAGGGATGCCCCACCATGCTGGGCAGAACTTTGAACCTATATTTGTATGGATTTTACCCATAGAAGGTCTATTTCAAGAAGTATGTATTTTTCTAATGTGAATACTGACACAAATGAGCCATTTATTTATAATGAATAATGTCTGCCCTATCTCTTTTTCTAAGGAGCTCATCACAATAATGGTACATATATATTTTTGTTGTCTGTTTTTGGAAGCAGGGTTTGGCACAGCCCAGGCTGGCCTTGAACTCATGATCCTTCTGCCCCAGCCCAAGGCTGGGGTTACAGGTGTGTTCCCATGGCACATAGTTTGCTGGCTACTGCAGTTAAGGCCGTTCCACTTTCATTTACCAGCCTTGCACCCACTTCCGTATCATGTCTGCCCCTTCTCTCCTGGTGGTGTCCTCTGTACTTCTGGATTCAGTTAGAAAACTTCAAAATTCAAAAGCTAGCCATTTTTGCCATTTTGGCAGCATTCTAATGAGACATTAAAAAAAAAAGTCATTTCTATTTGTTTTGTTAGTGTCCATGGGGATTGAACCCAGAGCCTTGAAATTGCCAGGCAAGGCTCTGTCCCTGCGCTTCATCCCTAAGACAGGCCTAAGCAGGCCTGAGGTCTGTGGCCCTCCTGTGTTAGCATCTCTAGTAACTGCAACAATAGGCTGTACAATCAGGGAATCAGGGGCTTTCTTTTCTTTCTTTCTTTCTTTCTTTCTTTCTTTCTTTCTTTCTTTCTTTCTTTCTTTCTTTTTTTTTTTTTTTTTTGAGAAGGGACTATGTAGTTCTAGCTGTCCTGGAACTCACTACCTAGACCAGCAGGCTGGCTTCAAACTCAAGAGATCCACCTGCCTCTGCCTGCTGAGTGCTGGGATTAAAGGCATGCACCACCATACCCAGCTTCCTTCCATCTCTCTATGGATTCCAGGATGGAACTCAGGTTGCCAGACTTGATAGCGAGCACCTTTACCTACGGAACCATCTCACCAACCCTCCACTTAGGTTCTGTGTTCACCATTTCCCTCTAAGACTGAGTCTTGCTGTATAGCTTAGGTGTGAGGGTTTCCATGGCTGCATTGTGGGCCAAAGGGAAGGCCATTTGTCCGCATCGGACAAGAGCATTATTCTTACCCTGGCACTCTGAGGAGAGGCCTGGAGCAGCTGAGATGCTGCTGCAGGGCAGAGCTGGGGATCTTGGCTGCATCTCACCCAGGTCCTAGGCTTAGGCAAAACTGCTGTTTCCACAGCCCTTGCAACACCCCAGGCACTTCCTGTTCTCTAACTAGATCTCAGGGCAGGGTTCATAGGGATAAACGGGCGGGTTTCCTAGCAGGAACTGGGGGCATCACAGTGGCTTAGGCAGGGCTGTGTCCTGTGGACTGGGCCACTTCTCAATAACCCAGAGCTTTCCCACTGTCTAAATTATTAATCTACATTTGGGTATGTGGACATTTATTATATTATCTTCAGTACTTTGATTTGTCTGAAATGCTTTATAATAGCAAAAATTTAAAAGGACAGCACCAGCCACCATTTTTCTCAAAGTATTCACCATGAATTTATCCTCAAACCCTCTCAATCCAGTTCAGGTGGATTCCAAGCTTTTTATTTCCTGCTCTGTTAATTTGGCAGGACTTGGGAATGTAGAAGAAATATCTGTGATTTTCTACTGTGTTCACCTTGAAGTGCCATATTGACCTTTGATGACATCCTTATTCTGTTCAGATGATACAGTACTCTGTGGAATCAATATTCTGCTTATCTTTAGTTCCTTTATTTCTGCCTGTCCTTGGCAGTATTGATCTTTCCATTAGTTCTCTTCAGCAACTTGCTAATGGGTGCCTGGGGAGCAAAATACACAAAAGATTATGGTGTCCGTAATCCCAGCATTTGTGGAGCTGAGGCAGGAGTATAGTGATTCTGAAGTCAGCATGAGTTATCTAGTAAGACCCTATCGCAGGATAGCTAAAAAAATTTCTAAGAGTGCATACTATTCTTGAAAAGGACTGAGTTTGATCTCCAGCATTCATGCTGAACAGCTCACAACTGCTCATAAAGGATCCAGCTCCAAAGGATCCAGTACCCTCCTCTGGCCTCTGTGGGTACCTGTAGCTAGGTACACATACAATCACTCAGGCACACAGGCACACATATACATAATTAAAAATAAAATAAATTAAAAATCTGTAATTCCAGGAAATACAAGGTTATACAAAAGCTAAAAAAGTAGACATCATGTCCACACACTGCCTAGTTATAGATGGTACAGTGTGTCCAGATCACCCTGGGCCTGAGGCCATGTCTCAAACAAACAAAACCCATGAAGTATCCTACAAGGCCTATCCATGGTACTAAATCCTCCAGCGTTTCCTCTAAGGTAGTATGGCAGGGGCTCTGTGTGGGCTCAGGCCCACATGGTGGAGTGTGGTCCCTTACAGGGTTCAAAGGGAGAAGGCTCCATGTCATGTGTTGATCAGTCAGTCCACAGTATGTGCTGGCAGTCAGGCTGTCTGCGGTTCCCAGGAGGCAAAGGGAAGGGAGGGAGTGGACCCTGAGGATGTGTTGGGGTTGGGGGTAGTAGTAGAAGTGGTTTTGTGTCTGTTAGCCTAGGACCTGCACACAGAGTGACTCCTGCTCTGAGCAGGGCCTCAGCAGCCTCTTGTCTGGTGTCAGCCAAATGCTGATCATGCAGCGACCCTTCTACAAGGCGTCTGCCCACTTTCAGAAGATTTTAATAAATATAGAGGAGGAAAGAGCAACTCTACAAAAGGTTACCTCTAAATGCTTTGACATGTTAACTGATTTGCATAGTGAGAAATCCTCTTTCCTCTATATCCCTGTCCTAAGTAGTCTTTTCTTTGGGGTATATTTTCTTTTTTTCTCTGGGAAACATTTTCTCCCTAGAAGCCTGTTCTTTAGACTCTAGAATTTCATCCCATCCTTTACACAGCATGAAGTTTCTCAGATCTCCAAGGAACAGGGGCAGAGATACGCTCCCCCCCCACACATTATTTTGGGATGCAAGCGTTTTCTTTTCATTTGACTACTGTATGTGCTTGGTCAGAGGACAGCTTGGTGGCTCAGTGCGCTCCTTCCATCCTAACACCGTTCCATGGTCCAACACAACATTGTCAGGCTTGTATGGCAAGTGCTTTTACCTGCTTAGCCATCTCATAAGCCCTATTCTGTTTTTGAGACAAAATTGTTGTGTCTTCCAGGCTGGCCTTACGATCATAATCCTCCTGCTTCAGGCTCCAATATTGAGATTACAGGTGCATGTCACCCTGCCTGGCTTAAAGTAATGCTTTTCTATTTGTTAGCTATCTTAGGTATTTGTTCAAATGGACATGATGCAAATGTGATGCTAATTGGTATTTTGGACAAGTCCATCCTCTCAACCAGCTTAAAAATCTCCGAGGATTTGATGTCTGACTTGTGTGTGTAAGCTCTGTGTTCTGAGCACAGAGCCAAGCACTTTGTAGGTAACTAACTGGTTGGGGAAAAAAGAAAACTGCACACACATGCATGTGTGTCACCCATGATTTTAAGTTGGACTAGAAATGCAACTTAGGAGTTGCCAGGACCTTGGACAGCTGCATGCCTGACACTGGACCTGTGTCCTCATCAGGAAACAGGGAGCAGCATAGCACTCCCTGTGCAAGCCTGGTGACCTGAGTTCAGATCCCTAGAAAACAAATAAAAGCCAGCATAGTAGCAGTACGAGTGTCTGCAGGTCCCATGGCATCTACAGGAGATAGAGGCCGAGACAGCAGAAACTGAAGCTTGCAGTCCAGCTGTTGTGGTGTTCACAGCAGTGTACAAGAGACCCTGTGTCAGGCAGGTGAACTGAGTGCCTTCTGAGACAGATGGGAGCAGTGGCCTTAATGTGCAACCCCCCCACCCCCCCACTTAGGAGGGAGTGGGAGAGAGGTGGAAGTGGCCGTTTCCTGAAGTCATTTGACTAAGGCAGTCCTTGGTGTTGAATTCAAAGCTCTCTATGAACTTGGGTAGTATGCTAATGGTTAATAATAAGAAAGCTAAACAGAGAATACCCAGACCCCAGATGTAAACAGTCGTGATCACTGGCCTTTTTATTGGCTTATCACATGGCTTCATTTCAGCAATTTTGGGTTTTCATTTCTATGACACCAAACTCAGTTAACTCTACAGAATATATATTTATATATTTTTAAATACACATTTATATATATTCTAGAATATATTTAATATATATCTCTCCAGCTATAGGAGAGCATGAACTGCTCTTCCAGAGGACTCGAGTTTGGTTCTTAACAAGGTCAGGTGGGTGACAACCACCTGTAACTCTAGCTCCAAGGATCCCACTCCTGTTTACGGTCGCCCTGGTCATCTGTACATGTGGCACAGACACAGACACAGTAAAAATAAAACCTTCAAAAGTGACAAGATTTTAAACTTCAGATATTTATGGGACTTAACTTATAATTACAGAACTAAAACGTTCTCTTCAAATTTTAAGCACAGGGCTGGGGATGTGGCCCAGTGGTTAAGTATTCAGCTTGTGTGAAATCTGGGTTTGATTCCCAGTACCACAAAAACCAAACAAACGGTGGATAGGTACAAATTAAAACTAGGCAAGCAGGGTTGTCTGCACAGGTGTGATATGTAAAGTACACTCAGTTTACAAATGAGACCCCTCTGCCATTCTTCTCATTTATCTCACTCGGTGCTCACTGATAACCTGGGACAAGGCAGAGGAGAGGACAGCTGCACAAGTGCTTGTGTGTCTGGAGAGGTCCTAGTGGCTGGTCCTGGGGCCCTGATCACAGGCAGGGTGGCCGGGGAGTCACAGGGCCCGGTGCCCTGTTTCCAGCAGCATGCTCTCCAGCTGCAGCTTGCTGTCGCTCTCTATGTACGGCTGGTGCAGCCACATAGACAGGTAGGTCAGGCTAAGGTTGCGGTCAGCAGTGTGGGCCAGCTCTGCACCAATGGTGTGCTTCAGGAGGAGCTCCTTCTTGTATGCATTGGAGAGCCGGTGGGAGACCTCATCTGCAACAGACCAATCACCAGGGCCACATGAGAACGCACTCTCCTAGACTCAAGCCATGCTTTCTGGCTCCTGGTTAAAACCCAGAGCCAGAGCTGACAAAATGACTCATCTGGTAGAGTACCACATTCGTGAAGCCCTGGGTTCAATCCCTGGTACCCCATAAATGGTATGGTGATGGATGCTTGCACTCCCAGCATCTGGAAGTTGAAGCACAGTTTGGAGGCATAAGGATGGGAAGTACAAGACCATCCTCAGCCAGCACATAAGACTACTCCAAACAAATCAGAATAGCATGGCATGAGGAAGAACTAATCCAGCGAGGCCACGCAACCCTTGAGTGTAATTGGGGTTTTCTTTGGGCCGCCAACCAGCTCCCAAATAAAAACATGGAGACCTATTATTAATTATGAATGCTTGGCCTTAGCTTAGCTCTTTTAACCTAATTCAACCAGTTTCTATTCATCTATATTTTGCTTCGGAGCTT